ACAAGTGTTAAGTTGCCTTTCCTATTTGACTTATTAATATATATGTATATTTAGTTATCCAAATATTCAAAGGGTAACTGGAAAACATCAGATAGAAAGATCTGAAAAGCATGCCCAAGTCGAAGACCCATTAAAGAACACTTTTCACTTTATGCTTAGGTTAGGTTAGGTTAAGTTAGGTTAGGTTGGGTTAAGTTAGGTTAGGTTGAGATGAAAAAGGCTTAGACTGAGTTAGATGGAATTATTTGAGGCTATTTTAATATTATAATAGGTTAGATTAGGTTGAGATTATGTTTGGCTGAGTTAATTTCAAGCTAGGTAAAGTTATGTTGGCTAACATAGCCTTAATTAGAAAAAGTTAGGTTATGTTTGGCAGGTGAACATGGAGCTAGGATAAATGAGATTTGATAGTGTCAGGTAAGTTAAGGATTATGGGATATAATGTTAACAGGAAACTTCAGATAGATAACTGTTTTACCATGGGAGCACAAAGAATTGTTGGATCGTATTATGCTTATGCTTAAGTCGAAGACCCATTGAGGAACCCTTTACATTAAGCTTAGATTGGATTCGGTTGGGCTCCAATAGGTTTGATCACTTCAGCTAAGAAGAAGTAAGCTAAGACTTTATATTATATTAGTTTAGGTAAGGCTGTGATTATGTAAGGTTTAATTTTATTTAGGTTAGGTAAGCTAATATTAGCTAACATAACCTCAAATAAAATAAAGTAAGGTTATGCTTGGTAGGTCAAAACCGAAGCAGGATAAACAAAATTTGCTAGAGTCAGGTAAGGTTATCGCAGAGAAGCACGATTAAGGTTATGAGATATAATGGCAGCTGGATTAGTTAAGTTGAGTTTAGTTAAGTTGAGGTTAGGTAAATTGAGGTTAGGTGTAGTTGTATTATATTTTATTATTTTTGTAGTACAGTAAAGACTTAACTTTACTTGAAATAATTTTCGCAATCATATCCCACTTGCCTCAGGGACAGAGCTAAAAACAATTTTCAAAAATCTGCACTCTTCTTCCTTGGCAATATAGGTAATTCTCCCATCTTGACACAAGACACAAATAAAGCTTAACATAATAATATGAAGGTTCTATTTATGTCCGAATCTCATCAGCATTTTCGTCCTGCTCTCCATGCTGATTGATCTTCGTGACCTTAAGAGCTGGCGACATTCAACTTGCAATATATGTTGACTTTGACATAACATGCACACACACACACACACACACACACACACACACACACACGCGCGCGCGCATTTGAGAATCCTGCAGCGAAATACATATCGTAGTAGATGCTATAAATATTTCATTGCGACGCATTACACAAGTTCATATTCAGTTTTGATTTCAATTTCGCAGCAATACGTGTATTTTATGTTGACTTTCAAATTTAGCTCCCAGTTAAAGGGGCGGAGGCGTGAGAGGGAGGAGTGGCACGTCGCCGAGGCGCCTGCTCGCATCGCGTCTGCTGTCGCGTCAGACAGGACAACAAAAGTCTATGCATGCTTATCCTTAAAGTTTGTCACAGTTAAATAACAATAAATGTCACACAAAACGCCATAAGCGCGCCTGCACACACACACGCACACACACACACTAGCTGATGGCTGCCGACAAGGACATGCACATAAAAGGCAAAAGTTGTCTCTACACCAGCAAAGTCGCATAAAAGTTTCCATTCGTTCTTTGGCTCCTGGCACTCGCCCGGTCCACGGAGGAGCTGGAAGCTGGGAGCTCGGCTGCTCGACTGGTCCTTGCCTCCTGGCTCCTGGCTCCTGGTTCTTGGCTGTCGATGGGCTCGCTGCCAGCTTCACCTTGGCAACGTTGTCGTCTTTTCTTATTGCCTTTTGCTATACCCTTTCCAAGGGTAGCATCATAATGTCTCGAATTGTGCAACGAGTCCCGTAAAAAAAAAGAATAAATATATATATATACATATATATGTGTATATAAACTAGTAGAGATCCTTGCTAAATATATATATTTATATATCCCAAATATCTATCTATTGATAGATAAATATATATTCAAGAATATATACAGAAAGATACAAATTCATGTATATAAGTATTAAGTTAGAAGTAGATATTTTCATGACTATTTGTCTCGAAACTTTTTGCAGGCAGCATACATATCTAAATCTGCCAAATCGGACTAATATATCTTATAGCTGTAATACGAATGAATGCTAAAATAAAATATTAACTTCTTATATGAAGAATTTGTTACTTTTTTACTCTATACTATACTCTATACAATACTATATACTATACTATATACTATACTATATACTATACTATATACTATTCTTTGATACTATACTATATACTATACTTTACTATACTATACTCCTATCGATTTTCATCAAATCCTCTCAATATATTACCACTATATCATATAGCTATACATGAAAACTCACTCGAAAGTCAAGTTTTTGTATGGAAAACTTTGCTATTTCCCAAGATATCCAGATAAAACTATCCTTTATAAAAATAAAAAATATCCTTTCCACATCGAACTACTATATTATATAGTTGCCATAGCAAAGATTGGTAAAATATTAAATTCTTACATAAGGAACTATTTTATTCTTTAGGTTATCTTAACTAAACTTGGCATTTAGAAGTTTTGCTATACTTTTTAACTTTATCGTACCATTATATCATAAAGTTCTGTATGAGGAAACGATCCAAAAAGTTCGTTTTTCTTTAAAGAAACTGTCTAAATATCTCTAAATATCTCGATCAAACTTGATCTAACCTGGCTTTCCACATATGTATCACATATATCTCAGAGGAAGGGTATTTCATCTTCGGTGCGCACATAAAACAGTGATTTTCTTATTTCTTTTTTTTTGGGGGGGGGGTTTTATTTTTTCTGGCGACTGTAAGCCTCTGAATGAGGCACGTCATAACTTTGCCATAAAACAGCTGACAACTCCAACGCAAGGATATAAAGATGCCATCATCCATGCCCCATTCCACACACTACATGTGTGTGCGAGTGTGTATGTGCGAGTGTGTGTGTGTGTTATGTTAGTTGCTTCAGTGGCTTAATGTGCTAAACAAGTGCGTAGCTGAAGGACAAAGGAATTGAACATGCGCCAAATTTAAGCAGTTCACCGAGTCAAGGAATCAAACGACTGCCAGCTAAATAAATAGTTGGGATATCCTTAATGCCTGTCCTGTAGGTATTACTTGTCTAGTTTATTGAGTTTCCTATGCATTTAACCCCCAATCGTATACCCTTTAGCCGTCAAAGCCGTGTGGCTTCGACTAGACCGAGATCAAACTTATTATTTGTTCCTCAATATCTACAGCCAGTTTTATAATATCGATATTTATCGATTTTGAGTTGTGGCTTTTTAAGGCAAAACTCGAAGATTATAAGAGCTAGACACTCGAAACTTGGTATATAGGTTCTCGTATGGTTTAAATATGTTAAGAATAGATCACTTTTTGTGTACATCACAAACATATATCGAAATTATATATAAAACCGTAAGTATTTCTCTTCTACTTCCAGCAGTATGATAAGAGTAAGGCTCTGCGCACACGGAACTTAGCTATATTATATTGTCTGAGCATTATGTACAGAGTATCTCCAAGTCGATCATCTTGAGCTGATGCAAAGTACATAAACTGTTGTAAGCCCTATTTCATTGTGCCATTCATTTGAATTTGAGGTAAGGCCATGAACGAACACCAAAAGAACTGGCTGCATGCAATATACAACAGTTACTTTCACCAGGCCCGCCCACTTTTCCACCCGCCCACGCACACACGCGCACACACACATACACATTGTTTTGATTATGTATGTATGGGCATGCATACAGGGAAATCAACTTAAGCGAAACAGGAAGTCGACATTAGAATATTTAAGATGAGCTTCTCTTAAGGAACAAAATGCAGCAGTGAAATTTTCCAAGCGCACTGTGGGGCAAAATCGATAACAAAATGCCCAAATACATACAAACCTATATATATATCTCGATATATAGATGTAGCTATCGTGATATTATTATATATATCTTGATAAGCAAAAAGGTCAAATGTAAAAAAAATAAAACTTAACCAATATTTCCGCTCAGCGGCGTGAAATTTCGCAACAGGTGAAACACATCACAAATGATAATTTTTCAAATATTTAAAAAAACATATATGCCTTCGTTTAGTAGAAAGAAAGATTAAAAAGAGTTCCACACTATACTGTTCCGCCCATTTTGAAGCCAATCGGACGAAAATAAAATGCTTGAATATCTCATGAAGTATAGATATTAAAAAAAAAATAAAGAAAAATCAGTTAAAGCTCGATGTGATGAATAACGAACAAGTGTCATGTAACCATTTTCCACCTATGTATATTCCGCACTTGTGGGTGGAAATGCATAAAACGGTAAGCAACAAGTGTCATGTAACCATTTTCCACCCATACTCCGCACTTGTGGGTGAAAATGCGTAAAACGGTAAGCAACAAGTGATATCTTACCATTTTCCACCCATACTCCGCACTTGTGGGTGGAAATGCATAAAACGGTAAGCAACAAGTGTCATGTAACCATTTTCCACCTATATTCCGCACTTGTGGGTGAAAATGCATAAAACGGTAAGCAACAAGTGTCATGTAACCATTTTCCACCTATACTCCGCACTTGTGGATGGGAATGCGCCAAGCCAACACGTGTTTAAAAACCTTTTTCCATATATATTCCGCACTTATAGGTGAAAACGCACAGAAAATGGTATTCAACAAGTGTCATATAACCATTTTCCACCTATATTCCGCACTTGTGGGTGGAAATACACAAAATACAATACATTGGTTCTGGCTGTACCTTGATCAGTCAGTCAGTCAGTCAGTCAGTCAGTCAGTCAGTCAGTCTAACTGTCTGTCAGATATGAAGATATCGAGTGTATAGTTCGATAAGTAGAGTTCGTTGAATTAGCTGTCATTGGGCAGCTGCCTTGCGAATATTCTCATTTCTAGAAAGATTGCTCAACAAAACAGTCGTTCAAAATCAAAGGGAATAGAAATAGCTAAGCGTTACATGTAAATATTAAACGTAGTTCCAAAATTTTAAGCGTAATACGACAATAAACAATAGTCTATACAGACGATTCCCCAGCTACAATTTAAATAAAATATTTAAAAAAAAAAAAAATAAAAACGAAAACAACAACAATTTGCTAAGTAAAATCCACGAGCTATGAGCGATTCGCAGCGTCAGGTGAAAATGGTTGCCGAGCAGGCGCTCGCCAGCCTGCTGGAGCGGGCCAAGCGTTTGCAGCTGACCAGCGTTTGCGCCATGCAGCACCATGGCAATGACGACGACGATGATGGGGATCAGGAGCAGGGGCAGGGACAGGGGCAGGAGAAGGAGAAGGAGAATTTGCGAATGGGCGAACAGCCAGCTGGAGTGGAGCCGAATGTTGTTGTTGTCAATTTAAAGAAATCGAAGCACAGCCCACCCGGTGCCGGCATCCAGCGTGCGATAGCTGCTAGCGGCAGAAAGCCACGTAAACTTGATTTGGAGCCATCGCCGCCGCCGCCGTCACCGCGTGAGCTGTGCCTGATCGCCGAGCTGAGGGATGAGTATAATCAGACAGATCAGCTGATTGATCAAATGCTCACAGATGCCACAAATCTTGGCCACGAGATGAACAACTGCACACAAATCCAGCGCGATTTGTCCTTGGTACAGGAAATCGAGCTGGAGACAACGAAACGTTCGCTGGACACACTATTTGGGGCACTAACCGCCGATCTGGAGCGCAACGATCTCAAGGAGCTAATGCTGCGTTGCGACAGCGCCCTGGAACGCACCAAGGAGCGTCGGATCAAGAATGAGCCAACTATCGAAACCAGCTGGAGCACAATCAGCGAACAGTTCGAACAGGTCGAGGCGGTGACCACCAATGCGGACGAGCTGCCGCCAATTGCCGCCCAGCCGGATGATCAGCACAGGGAGCTGGCCAAGCACGACTAGCAGCGGCTGTTGCCCAACGGATCACCAAATCGATTTTCTTCTCAATTCCAATTGTCGCTAACAATCAATAAATGTCTCGTTGCACTGTAAAGCACCCAAAGCACCCAAAGCACCCGGCATCCAGCTCCTGCTGCAGTTCATCCCGCTGTTGACTGACTGCAGATTCCACCTGCTAACAGCAAACTTTTCTTGTTAAGCTCGTCGACTGAATGGCAAGTGCTGCACCGCCCCCCCCCCCCCTAGCAGGGCCGGGCCACAGCAGCTGCAGGCATTTGGCTTCAGCTCCGTCCTTGGCTTCAACTCCGGCTGTGGCTGCGGCTGCGGCTCTGATTCCGCCTCCTTTCCCGCCTCTGGCTTTGGCTTTGGTTTTGGCTCGGGCTCATAACTAATTACCGCCTTCATCGCAGCATTGCTGGAGCATCTCGAAACTTTTAAATTGAGTTGCGTGTCATAGTCAAACAAGTTTGCCCCCATCAATTTGCCTACCTCTAGTTCCCACTATAATCCACCCCCACCCCCCCCCTCCCGCCCCTCTACCATAACCTAGCTGGCTGCTGCTCTTCAAACTGAATACGTGATATTCCTGCTTGCCACAATAAATCAACTTTGTCAAATTATGTACATAACATACATATACATATACATACACATACATACATACATACACATATATACATATGTACACACACACACACACAGTGTTTGCGCGTGTGTGTGAAGCGTAGCGTGAATACACTCAAATAAACTAATGACTCTCAACTTTTTATTCCACATACTCAAAATAAAACAGGAGCGCGCTAGTCGGCAATGCACGACCAAAAGATACCCTGTAAACAGCGTCCACAAGACAAGCAACACACACACACACAGAGCACAAGGCTCTAGCTGTTAAAAATTAGTTTTCTTTTTCAATTCTGCAGGGAATGGGCCGAGACATCCGAAAGGTGAACTATTTCCAATCTATATACGCCATACGAGAACCTTTGTACCAAGTTCCGAGTGTCAAGCTCTTAAAATCTTCGAGTTTTGCCTTAAAAAGCCATAACTCAAAATCGATATATATCGATATTACAAAACTGGGTGTAGATATTGAGGAACAAATAATTTGTTCGATCTGTGTATAATATGGGATTTATGTATTTTCAATTTCAATTCTCTAGCTCAAGTAGTTACTGAGATCGATGGGGACAGGCTGTGGTGGATCAGCTCGTCCAGATAAGGGATATATCAAATATATACTTATAGGGCTGCAGATGCTCCCGTCTACACACTTTGACGCAACCAGTATACCCTTCTTACCCTTTTCAATGGGTTCAGGGTATAACAAGGGTATAATTAAGTTACGAAAGAAATACATAAACATATTTCCAGGACAATGAGAAAAAACCTCATCATACATATTGATAACCCATGAAAATAAACTCAAAGGATTTGTTATTTATCTACGTCAAAGCGCATCAAAATATGAAAGATGCATTATTTTCAAACACTTTTAATCAGGACAGCGAACCGGTTTTTAACCGAACCGGCTTGAGCCAGGAATAACCACGAATTTGTATAGAAACAGAAGAAACCAAACTGAACCAAAACCAGATCTGTTAAAAAAACTGGTTCGAGTCCAGTTTCGCGAAACTAACCACAAAACAGGACATTGGTTTGAACCGTAAACTGAACCACCGAAAGCTTTTCCCAATCACAACGCTAACAAAAAAATAACCCTTAAGTAACGTAACGTACCGCGTCTAACGTAACGTATCTTGTCTAACGTAACGTATAATATAGCTTGTGTAAGGAATAACTAAAGATTTTATAATTTATGTGTAGAGAAATAAATAACATTAACTAAACTCGATCGATTATTATATAATAATTGTTCACCGTCAATTAACGTGGTATTGTTTGTCTTTGGCTGATGTCCCTGAACGATTATTTCCAGAGATATCTGAAATACATTATAGCATGAATTTGGACGGCAACATCATCATTAAACATTAACTACATATAAATAAATACATATCTATAATTAAACGTAGATATTTTATTCATTAAATTACCATATAACAAAAATGGAATTAGAAATAAAACAAGGACAGATCAATTTGTTTTCAGCTTGGCCTGAGGTATCGCACTGTCCCGACGCTTCGCCAGCGCTAGTGTCCAGCAAATTATCCAAAGCGGCAGGAATACGGTGCAAATAGCAAAGTAAAGCCAATTGCCATAAATCTATAAAGCAAAATTAATAAATTAAGAAATCATTTATAAATGGCGCTCAGATAAAGCACTTACCACGGAATCGATAAGCGCAAATGTGGCCGCATCCATGGCAGCTGTGGCGGCACGCAGCAGCAGTTGTTGCAACGTCAGCTCGGGAAATTGATAGAAGCTCATGATCAAAACAATGATATAGATGACCACAAGCGGATTCAGGAGCAGCGTCCATACTCGCGTCAGGCTGCGCAATGTGCTATATGCGGTACTTGTCGTATTCAGGGCAATCACCATGGGCGCCGTTAAGACCGCCACAAAGAAGCCCAGCGAGAAGTTGAGCAGCCCAATGACAATCAGAGCGCAGCCATAGATTAGCAGCAGGCTAATGTGTAGCAGCTCCAAGGCACCAGGCGGCAGCACCACCACGAAAGGCAACCCAAACCCAAGCACATTCAGTGCAATCAGTATGGTGGCAGTTAACGGAGCGGCGCTCACAGGCAGCTCCAAAAGGTACTGATGCAGCGGCAGCACATTGCCCACATAGCCGATGAACAACGCCGCAGCCAAATAGATTAATACCGAACCATAAGGCAAGGACAACTTCATCGACTCCAAGCCAGACGCCGTCTCAGTCTTGGCGTTAGCATCCCCAGACTTCTGCTGTTGGCGATGCTCGGTCGCTGCGCTTGTCGCCTCCAGTGTGGACCATGTGAGATATGCCTTTATAACGCTGCAGGCAGCAAGCGCCACCAGCGCGGGCATATAATCGCCAATGGAAATATAGCGATCGTTGTGCACAATCACATAAAAGAAGAAACTCTGGTGAAAGCGTTCCAGCAGGTTGTTGAGACTGCGAGCAATCCCCTCGATGGCCTTTAATAGCGGCACGGCCGCTGAACTGGGATTGGCCTTCACGTTGGAATTGGTAACACGCTTGGCAGCGGATATGGTCAGTGCATCGATGCGGTATCGATGGAATAGTCCATGATTACCATTCGGCACGCCCGATGATTGTGTCGACAGCATGGACAGTATTTGGCGCAAATTCTGCTCATAGTTTGAGAGGCTGGAACGGCGCTTTTTGCGCGGCGTCTGCTTATAGCCAGAGGTGACGCCCTCACGCGCCATTATGCGCTGCACCAAATTGAACATATCCAGATTGGGCAGCTTGCCATTCAAGCCCTCAATCTTGACATCAATGTAATCTGCATGAAAACTAGGTAATTAATTGATTCTCCAAGCTATTAAGAGATGCCACCGACCAATTTCGAAGTCCTGCACTTCAATGTTTAACGCAGCTTGCAGCGAACCGGCGCGTGCTGGCAGATTTCCAGCCAGCAGATACGAATTAGTGCTGTCTGGATCTCTGTCACCCTCATGGTAGGCCTCCAGCCAGGCCTGCATGCCCAACTGCTCCTGCTCGGTGACCAGGAATATCAAATCCTTGGCCCAATAGTTTTTGCCTGCAATACAATGATGTTAACCTCTAACAGGAAATGTGACAACGTCTACTTACGCCTTGCAAATTCCGCAAATGCCAATAGCAGCGGCACGCTGGACGTTATGTCCACATGAACCGAGCTGGGCGCACGATAGGGCGCCGCGAACACAATACCCTCGGTGGAGCCAATGCGCGGCGCACGCAATATACCATAAACGTTCTTCCCATGGAACTCCTTACCGCTACCGAATGGATAGCGTAGCGTATAGTTGTGTGTATGCGTCTCCAGGCCAAACTCTTTGAACTTCGCCAGAATCCAGGCGTGTGGCGTTGTAGACTGATGATCCTTGCGCTCGCGCTGCAATTCCTCCAGCAGCTGCACGGCCAGTCGATTGGCGTCTATGCGTATCTCGGGATACACCAGACCTACAAGCACCAAAAGCACGTTATAATAACGAAAAGAAACAGTTAATTAACTCACCTGGCGACAACGCATTCTCTGATAAGTAGGTGCCATGGTTGAACTCTGGCAGGGCGAGGCACATAAACCAGATCACGCCAGCTGTGTAGAACGCGTAGCAGACCTTGCGCATATGCTTCGCCAGATTGTCCACCAGCTTGTTATGAGTCGACAGTGATGGATCAGACAACAACCCCATTGTTCTAGGCAACAGTTTCCTTAAAACAATAGCAAACAAAGTTTAGCCGGCAAAGCTAGTGCTGACACTCTTTAACCAATACAATCGATAGCTAGGTGTGACACGCTTTATGTTATACTATCGATAGCAGCGTTTGGTATTTTTCTGCATTTATTACAGCTAGCAAAGATTTGTAGCTGTAGATAGTAGGCTCAAATTAAATTGAGTTGCATATGAGTCAAACTATAATTATATTTCGTAAATATTATGCAAATTTGTGTACACTATATCAATGCGCGATAGGCGATATGCCCTTTATACGATATGGTTAAATATATCGATATTTCATCAGCGGTCTTTTGACAATATTTTCATGATACAGTTGAGTTTCCAATTGAAATGATGCCTATTAGACAAAGTCAATGGGGTTAATTTGCTTGCCCTTTCAATTTGTTGCCTCCAAATATGCGGGCATATTAAAACTAACACGCTTCTTAGAAGCTTCTAAAACGACAAATCAAAGCAAATGAAAAACTTAATTGACTCTTTTTTTGTTAAGTTTTAATTACAGTTTGTCAATTTGCTGTTTTTATTATTTTTATTAATTGCGAAAAATCGATTCGGATTCAAAACTAATTTACCATAATCGTGATTTCCATATATACGTCAAATCAACACTCTATAAGAAGTTTTGGTTTTTCATGCTTGTTAACCTCAATTAATGTAAAGACTACAAAAAAAAAAAATTTGTTTTAAAAAAAAATTACTTAAGCATTAAATTGTCTACAATAGTACTTTCATATCATGATCATATCGGGGATAACACGCGATATTTTGGCAATGCAAAAAAAAAAAAAAAACAAAAAAAAAACGGTATATATAAATTTAAAAATAACTGCTGCCGTCTAGCTATTGGAGCCGCTGGAGCGGCGGAAGAGGCGCATGTGGCTTCCAGTTGAGAAAATTCAAATCGATGGTCAGCTTGGGTCGCTTAAACTGGGGCAGCTGCAGATGATCGTTGATGGTCTTGGCTGTCACACAGATAACATTCTGGCCCTTCCAGTATTTGATCATCTTCATGGATTGCAGGGTATAGATGATGTCGTCAGGCGTAATGCCGCTGGCTTCGCTCAACTCCGCTATGCTCGTCTGTTCCGCCGAGCAGCGGCCCTTCATCAGCTCCAGCAGCGTATAGGCCCAATAGCTGCGATAACTGAGCCGTCCGAGATCGGAGAGCGGCTTCTCCGGGCTGCCAATGACGCCCTCTTTGCGCGACAGCTCATAGCTGAAGGCAATCAACAGCTTGCCATAGCCCTTGCGCTGATGCGGCGGCAGCACCAGAATACAGGCCACATTATTGTTCTCGAGGGATCGCTTCTCCTTGGAGAAATAGCCAACAATGTGGCTGCCCATCTTGTCGGTCTCGCAGAGCACATAGAAATAGAATGGATCCATATCGAAATAGAGCACCTTGTGGTCCAGAAACAGTTTGGCCATCAGGCACAACAGCTGGCAATAGAGCGGCTGATCCTTGCCGTTCACCTCGAATATGGAGATTGTGCTCTTGCGATAGATCTCCTTGCCAGGCGGCCTGCGCGCCTTGCACTCTTCCATATGATATTTGTAGCTCTTGTCCAGTCGCATATATTTCAGGCAATACTCGCACACGTACAGGATGCGCGCCTTGCCGTACTCACCCGGAAAGGGACTGAAGTACCAGGTGTCTATTTCATAATTGCCAAATTGTAGCTTATCAATGTATTTGATTTTCGTGATGAACTCGTGCTCCTTCTCGAGCGCCGCCTGCGAGGCGCTCAGCTCCGCATGGCTCTTCTGCACATGGTTAATCTCATCGTATCGCCGCTTCTGGTAGCGCGTCATCTTCCGGTCGCTGTAATCGTACCCATTGTTCTCGCATGCGGACAGATAATAATCCTTGTGCCCTTGTCGTTTGCGTCGCATCATGCTGCCGCTGCTCTGTTGGCTGGTGGCGCTGCTGCTGCTCGCGCTGGCACTGGCGCTGGCGCTCGTACTGGCGCTCGTACTGGCGCTCGTACTGGCGCTGGCGCTGGCAATGGCATTGGCATTGGCAATGGCAAGGGCATTGGCATTGGCAATGGCAAGGGCACTGGCACTGGTACTGGGCTGATCGCAGACCAATAACTCGGCCGGATCGCTGGTCACCGTTATGCCGCCCAAATCTTCAGCATTGTCCGATATGCGATGCCGGCCAACCCATTCGTCCAGGCGTCGATTCAGGCCCACATAGTGCACATAATACTCGTTGGGGCTGTCGCAGTTGTCGGTGGCGCGCGACTGCAGCACCTGGCCGGCGTGCACGGTGCCATCGGCGCGCCTTATATAGTAGATCTTTTCCGGATTGTCGCTGATATCGATTTTATTTATCGAGGGCTCACCGTCATCGGTTGTCTCCGTTGCGGTTAACGTTTCGCCCGATGTACTATCCTGCTCCACCAATATGACATCATCATCATCGCTCTCGTCGCTGCTGCTGCTGTCGTCGTCGTCATCATCATCATCATCGTCGTCGTCATCGTCATCATCATCGTCATCGTCATCGTCGTCGTCATCGTCATCGTCGTCGTCGTCGACGTCCTCATCATTATCGTCGCTGTCGTCCTCCTCATCCTCTTCATCATCGCTATCAACGCTGCTGTTGTCCTCATCGCTGCTGCTCGAGATGCTTTCGAATTCATCTAGTAGCAGGGGCGGCCGCATCTGCCCCGGCAGCCGTTGTTGTTGTCGTTGTTGTTGTCGTTGTTGTTGTTGCTGTTGTAGCAGTTGTTGTTGTTGTTGGTGCCGTAGTTGCTGTTGTTGCAGTTGTTGCAGTTTTTGCTGCTGTAGTTGTTGCATTCTTTGTTGCTGTTGTTGTTGCTGTTGTTGCTGTTGCTTCAGTTTTTGTTGATAGAGTTGTTGCTGTAGTTGTTGCTGTAGTTGTTGCTGTCGTTGTTGCTCTTGTTGTTGCTGTTGTTGCAGTTGTTGCTGTTGTTGTTGCAGTTGTTGCTGTTGTTGTTGCTGTTGCTGTTGTTGTTGCAGTTGCTGTTGTTGGGCCAGTTCTGCGGACAGTCGTTGGTGATCGTCGGCGTGCACGGATATGTAGCGTCCGCGCTTGTAGGGCGGCAGCAGATCGATGGGCTCTTCGCCATCGTCTGTTGGCGATTCGGGCGTTTCGGGCACTTCCGTTGGCGCAACCATTTCCGTTTCCGCTTCCACTTCACCTTCGATCTGCATTTCCGCTACGTCCACTGCCTCGTTCCCCGTTGCCGTTGCCATTTCTGCATCCGCTTCCGCTTCCATCTCTGTTATTGGCTGCCCCTCAACCTCCATTGGCACTCCCATCTCAGGCAAGGTTTCCGTTGCCACCTGCTCAGCATCTGTGCCGATGGCAGTAACGGCTGTCTCCGTACCGGATGCGGCAGCGTTTTCCGCATTTTCAGCAGTTGGACCGCAGCTGTAGTCATCGTTGCCGGTCAAGTCGCTGACATCGACCACTGTGGTGGGCGAGCCCTCATCGTCCGAGTCATCGCTAGCCTCGTCGGAACGTGCTGCGGCCGACTCGCCGCTTTGCTCGCCGCTGCTTGAACTACTGGCGCTGCTGTTCTCCTCCTCCTCCTCCGACACGGGACTATGGTGAGCGCCCAAGTATGTTTGAGGTCGAGGCGGCATCGGCATCGGCATCGCCACCGGCACCGGCATCTCCACCGGCATTTCCACCGGCATCGCAACCGGCATTGGCATCGCCACCGGCACCGGCACCGTTTCGACTGTTGTATCACATTGCTCCAATGTGGCACTCGTTTCATGCGACCGATCTGCCCAGCCCTCATCCCCGTCTGAGGGCTCCGTAGAGCCGCTGATGTCCAGGCTGGCATTCAGCTCGGCCGACGCATCATCTACCGGCGTTCGTGGCGGGTTGCCGCCAATCGCATATGGATTTTCTTCGTCCTCCAATGCGGCACCATATTCACGTTCTTTTAGTTCCTCGGTGGACATTTTATTTAAATGTTTTTCACCGTGAATGTGTCCAATAGCTTTATTGAAATATTATCCATTTGTTTTGCTACGCAAAAAAAACAACACTAATTTTATAGCATAGCGATGGTACAGTACCAAGCCATCGATATATCGCTAAGTATCGATTGCAGTTTCAATTGGCAGCAACGCATGTGTCAATTAAATATGCAAATAACAAACATTCTCATAATAATTACAAATTAAACGTAATTGTAGTTTACATTTTGAAAGTAATTTTCTTTTATATTGCCAAAAATATGCGTTTCACATGCGACCTTTCAACAGCAATAACCAGAGCAGTGTTGATCAATGTCAAACACATTTTTGGCGCAAATTTGTACAGCTGCACATGTGAACAAACAGATACACTGCCATAAATAAATGTGCACGTAGGAATTAGGATAACTGTATCTATTTATTTATGAGCGTACATTTAACATTTAACAGAATTAACACGTTTTTGAAGTTTAGAAAAGAAGTTGTACACACAATAGATATAAATATATACCTCATACATATGTTGATAAGTTAATTAGGGACGATTCCTTATAAAATATAGTTTGTTTTTTTCTATAGTTATCACAAAATCAAAGAAAATATATGTTATATTATATCTCAGAAGTCACCAGAAAATTCAATGCGTTTTGCAATATTTTAAATGATTCGAAATGGCGAAACTCGTTGCTTTAAATTTTTATCTTAAAAATATAAATAAATATATCGTTAACTTTCCTTAAAATTTAGGCTAGAACCAGAAGTTAACGCAATTTCTAGAATAAACTGAACCTTAAGCCCAAGCAATTGTCTAATATAGAACATAAACTGAACCGTATTATAATTATTCAAAATTTAACAAATATACTATTTGTTAAACAACCAAAAAAAAAAACTAAAGCAAAATACAATTGGTGGATTGTCTGGAAGTTAAACTGCCATGACTGTGATTACTTCTGTTCTAAATATGTACTTAGTTACTAAATAATCGTGGGAAAATATAACAAAATGCATATATGTATATTACTGTATAGTGTAAATTTCTTAAGTTGAAGCCAAGTGTTTGGTTGGAATTAGCATAAATGTCTTGGTTACAATCCTATGATATCGGCCCAATATAGGCAACAAGCACTATATATGGGTAATATGCATGGGATACTTGAGTGTAGATAAATGTCATACATACATACAGTGGGCTGCAGTATGTGCGTGCTGTAAACAATTAACAAGTAAAACAAAGAACAGATATCTCTATATATATATATATATATACATATATATATATATAGTGGGTAAATGCTAAGCCATAGAGGGAACTGCTCGTAAGCGTGCCATCGACAAACGAAGCAAATACATTTCAAATTACATTTAAAATAAATAATTAACTAATGTACATTCATATCTTTAGTTGATACATATATGTGTATATACATGTACAAGTGCAACTGCGCGTGAATTATGCCTGCAAAGTGGCTCCGCCGGCTCCGCTGGCACCGCTGGCACCGCTGGCACCCCCAGCATGTCCATTCCCGCCCGCATTTGTATCGGGGCTATCGACGTAGATGAAGCGCCGCATGAACTGACTGCAAAGATTGTGATAATCAGTCGTGACGTTGCATTTGCTGCTGCGCAACAGAATACGGCCAAAGATCGCAGCTGGAGTGAAAGGGAAAGGAATTCAATTAGTTGTTGTAGTTTTAATGCAGCATTTGCCACATTCTGTCTACGCACCGACATTGGTTGCCTCGTAATCGTTACGTTCGATACCCTCGCGCAGGAACATGCACAGATGCATGAACACATTGCGCTTGGGTGCGCTCAGCAGCGCTATTAGCTCCATGGCCTCCGACTTGCTTTTGCTGACCAGCAGATCCTCGACGAATGGCTCCAGCAGCGCCTGCTCCGGCAGGTCAAGCAACAACAACAGCGCCTCGGCAGCGGTTTGTGGTGTGCCCGCTATAAATGCACACATCATTTAAATACAAATCTATCTATGAATATGCAAATGAAACATACGAAACTCATCCTCTGACCAGGTGTCCAGCCAGTCACGCACGGCATTGAATTGACTGCTGAGCGGCTGCCGGCGATCGTAGCTCTGGAAAATGCCCTTTAGCTGATCACCTTGCTTGTGCAGATAGTCGATAAGCAGGAAAAATTCACGTGGCATCGTCACACGACATTCGGGCGTCACGTCAAGCATCTAGAAAAGTGAGTAAGTTATTAAATGGATCTCAGTTCCTTGAGTCTAAACTAATAACAGACTATTCCACTCATTTTACAAACAAAACTATCTTCGGATTGCCTTGTCAAATGGGCAGCAGACCCCTAAAGTTCGTATTAACTGAGATTGGTCAAGATAAGATATTGTTTTTCCAAACAAATCTTATTTTTCGACTAAACGGCTATATGACTTAATATTAACAAGATTTTATATTAGAACTCGTGAATGCCAAGTTTGTTTAGAAACAGATCGTTTCTATAGCAGCTATATGATATACCTATCCGATGCGGATAAGATTTTGGTGAAAAGAGAAAAACAACAAAATTTGTTCATACAAGAACATCAATTTACACCGATCTGGCCGGGTTTAATATATTTACTGCCTGCCTACGAAAGTCAGCTTGATGCAAGGCTCGATGACGAAAACTTGAAACAGAAACTTATAGTCGGAGGAGACGTATCTAGAACATATATATATTATTTATGGGGACGGAGATGTCTGCGGAGACCTTCTGCAAGGGATGGCGGTAGAATATATATTTGCAAAATCTGTAAAATAACAAGTCTAAGTTTCTAATAGATCTTTGAACATGAGCTACAGTCGATTAGAACAAAAACAAGCATAAGTATATACTATTTCATTCTTACAAGCTAAACTATTAGTTTCCACTCTTTTGCCGGTGAATTTAAGAGGTGAATTTAAACTAAGTTAAAAGCCAATAGACCACTCCTGGGGCTGGAATATCTTAACGTACTAGCTTCTTATAGATTTATATTAAATTTAGAATGGATATATACATTACCAGCTGCTTGATTTCATCCTGCTTGTACTCGCCGATCGGTCGATCGGTGCGGCACATTGTCTCCATTGATAGACCAAAGCAGCTGGGCTGATATTCGCCCGTTACGGTTATGAATATATCCCGTCCGGATCTGACATGCAGTATGAGTATATCGAAATCGCATTTGCCGGGCGTATTGCAAATCTTATGAAGCAAGCCGGTTATCGAATTGGGATCGGCCAGCATGCGTACGCGTATACTGCGCGCCGAGTCAATCATTAGGCTGTCCGAGCGCGGATCCACATGGAGCCACTTTTCGCATATGTCATTTGGCGAATCCTTGACCTTAAACTTAAAGTCCACCTGCTGCGGGCAATTGTTGTACACATTAAAGTCCCGTATGGCTGGCTCATTGAAGCGCACCAGCCCGAACTCGATGATGGTGCGCTCTGTGATTATCTGCGGCTGATTGTCATTCTCACGCTTGTCAACCGCCTTCAGTACTTCGCCCAGCACCAGCTTATACTTGGCCTCGTCGCGCGTCTTAATCTTCACCCGGAATATGGCATAGACGGGCTTGTGATCGCTCTGACGTATCTCCATTACACTATTGTAGGCCAGCTGCTCGATGCGTTTGCCCTTCCACAGGACGCGATCGCAATAGGCTGGCGCACGCTGTTTCTCGCCCGTATCATAGGTATCGGTGCCCACATCGTATTTGTATGTGGGTGCAAATTTAATCTCACCCTCCGTATAGCCCTTGAAGCATCTGTCATGGCTCATCTCCGTGCGCAGCTGATCGTACTGTAGCAGCAGCTCAAAAGTTTGGGCATCGCTCATCGGGCCCGGCCGCTGCTGTCCATTCGGCTCCTGTATGCGATAGTTCAGATCGCCCAGCCAGAAAATATGACTGCAATTGAAGGAGTTAATTAACAAAGTTTCTGACCGTTTCTGATGTCCTCAAACCATTCTAATTTTGTGCAAAACCCATTAGATTTATATAAGCAACGAGCTGTCGGAAACTATTAAGGCTAACGAATTGATATTTAAAATATACATATATGTTTGTCTATTCCATGCACAGAACCAGTTTATCAGATATTGTCGATATCTCCTCTCATTTCCATAATGTAATCATAATATATAAATGTTAGATATGTTCCCTTATTTCCCGCCAAAAGTGAAGAAAAACTCACATTTAAAGGTTGAACCTCGCGATTTGGTATGAACAAACTTTTGTAAGCCATATTTAAACCCAAAGATAAAGATCGGACAATAGTCAACAAAGTGTGTGTATTTGTGGCGCTGGGTTCGGGGCATCTGCTAGTCTGTTGCACTTACTCATGATCGTTGATGGTGCGGCACAGTAGGCCATTCTCCTCAAAGCGCATGCCATCCTCGATGGCCTTGTAGTCATCATTGCGCTCCGCCACGTAGCTCATGTGCGCGGCCAGATGCGAGTTGACGAAGCATATGTTCGCCTCGTTAAGCTGAAAGCTGACGGCAACGCCGCCCTTATTGCCCAGCGCATTGAACATGCCGCGAGCCACAGAGTTGACGCGACAGCGCACGATGTGCTGACGCAGCTGCTTGCGGACAATAATTGTCAACATAATGCCAGAGAGGCGCACCGATTGCAGCTCCTCATACTCGATACCATCATGCACGCTCTCCACCATCTTGCGTCTATGGAAAAAGAGTTAATAAAGTCAACTGATTGATATACAGAAATATATCCAAAGCATATTCAACATGTCATAGTAGTAGAGACTAACGCAGGCACATCCTTTGGAGTGGAAACTGGATGAAAAACTATTGAAAACTCTTGATTGCTTTTTGTATCCGCTTATTTTTAAACCCATTTTTATGATATTTACGTTCTGCAGAAAAATCAACTCCTTCAAGTTCTTAAGAAAATGAATCAAGTTGTTTTATCAATAAATAAGTGGAAGAGAATAAACACAATGCACGGGCACTCTCGGATAATGCCAGCTAGAACATATATTAAAGCAGACAGATTGATTATCATAAAAACATGGAGCTTATTCCACCCATAAGGGTGGGAAAAGAGTGGTTAACTCTATCGAACTTAACTTAAAGAATCGATCCGATTGGGCTTTAAGTGCATACAAAAGAAATATTGGATTTCGGGGTTATGGAAAATGGGCTCAGAAAGCGAAGAGTTTCGTTTTGAACATCTAACAGGAATTTCACCTCTCATAAACCATGAAATGCCGTACTGCTCACATCTATGACAAGCGCCTGGATTGATATCCAGCTAAATACAAGGCATGTCCTACATGCTGACCGGACACTTACATCCATTGCGCTGCATACATTTGCATTTGGTTGCCATTGAGCATTGCCTTGGCCGTGGTATCCAGCTCCTGGAGTCCAATGGCATAGATATCGGGCGCCTTCTCGCCGCTTGCCAGCCAAGGGCGTAGCGAATTGTTGTTATCCCAGCAGGGCCTATTATTAACGTTCCATGTGGCGCAGTAGATACTGTGAAGGTGCAAAGTGTTAAATGGAATTGAATATGGGGGATTAATAAACAATTGTCAGATACATACATAATATCCTTGTAGACAATGTATTGGCTTTCGCGCTTCTTTAGCTCCTGCTTGACTTCGCCAATCTCACGGTAATCGTCGAGCCAACGAAAATTGAGCGTCGTTTCCGACGGCATTTCGGCCTCCCACATGGCTTTCTTGCAGGAATTGATTTTTGCACAGAATTCATTAAAATCGACCGCACCCAATTCCGTTCGTATCGGATGATAGTAGTATTTGCTTGGCCTGTCATCGTCCGTTGACAGATCGAATTGCTGCTCCGTTATGGACCCCTTGGTATCTGTAAAGCTTACAACATATGCAAAGTTACTGTGCACGCACACAGGTGTGTTTCGCACCTACCCGTCGTCAATTGAAATGTCTTATTTATTGGAAATACTTTGTTTATTTTCAGCTCATTGCTAGCGGTCAACGGGGTGCGCAGGAGGGAGAACGAGATCAGCGCATATGTGCCGCCCGACGTTGAGGAGACCAGCGTTAGCAGACCCTCAATATGCTCCTGGCCCTTGATTTGATATGCCTCGAAGATCTGAAAATAGAACAAAAAGCAATTAAAATAATATTTTAATTACTTTTTTTTTTTGGCATTCAATTAGATTATACTCTTCTCAAATTGATTCTAGGCAAAACTTTTGGCAAATTTCTCCAGCAAAAGGTAAACAAAGCCATTATTGTGCTAAATTTTAAACCTACTTGGTTTTGTTTGCAAAACAAACAAAATAATACCAATTGAGTATTTATGAATAACATACATACATACTTAGTGTGCGCCCTGTTTATTAAGTTTTGTCCCCAAAAGCTGCATACCCGGCTTGCATAAACAACCGTTAAGGTTTCCCATTCTGAGTACATAACAGAGACTTGATTGACAATGTTTGAGCTTGGCATGGTCACCCTGCCTAATGCGTTGTGCTAAGCTGTGTGCCCAGCTGGCATAGTATATTGACAAGCAGTATACCCCGCTTGAGTACACAAGTGCAAAAAGGTGACCCATTTTGGGTACATATCAGAGTATGCATTGTTCAAAACAAAGTTTGAGCTTGCCATGGTCACCCTGTATATTAAGTTGTGCCCGTAAAATGTGGTGGTAAGCTGTGTACCCAGCTGGAGTATAATAACAGGCAGCAAACCGAGCTAGAGCACACAATTGGCTGCCCCCATAGTCGACCCCCACATAAGTTAATCTTAGTTTCCCTGGAAACGTCAGCTGATTATCGAGCCCGAGTAAAATATCATGAATATGAGACAAATGTTATCTACTGTCCCCAAGCTCAATTTACATGCACACACATACACACATGCATATTTATGCATGCATATACATACATATGTATGTATGTATTTACCGGGAACAAGGTGTCACATAGAAATGTGTTGCAAGCCAAATGCATAAATCGATTAATCACGATGGAACGAGTCAACTTACCAGGTGAACCGTTTCGTCCGCCTTGAAGCACTGCTGCACAATTGACATTGTTGTTCTCTCTGGCGCCGCAGCTGAGCTCGCATCAGCGACATTGGGATAGAGGCTCCCGCGTTCCATGGCTTAGCGTTTTTCTTTTACTTTTTTTTTTTTTTTTAGGGCTAGTTCTTGTTTAGCGGCTCTTTAGCTGGCTTAGGTGTTTGGTTTTGTTATTATGGCGTGCTAATCGGCTAGGCGGAATAATACTGGATGGGCGGTAGTTACGATATTATGGGTTATGCTGGAAATTTTTGTTGTTTTTGCTTTGACTGGCTATTTATAGTTAACACAACAGCTCGCATGCCTCTGGCGAGTGACGACACCAGCGAATTTGTAAGTGCTGGTTTTTCTTATTCTGTTTTTAAGACTAATGCCGAAACCGAGGTCAAGGAAGCTTTCATGAATGGTTTTAATTTGATTTTTAAAAGCCTTTTTCACGTGCTGGATGCTCTTGCGTTTTTATCTTGTATATGCTTTAACTGCTTTACGACGGTGGGTGTGGGCGGGTATAGTTTTTTTTGTTTTTTTTGTTTTACAAAAAGACACACACACACAATCGCAATCACTTATACACAGTCGTAGACCGAAGGGCTATTGGCGATGACGATAATTGTTATCCACCTTTCGGTTTCGGTTGAAATGGTTTTTAAATATAACCGCTATGCACATTACTCATTTTATGACAATTTCTGTGGCATTAATAAATTTGAATTAAGCTTGCGCACAGATAAAACAACAACAATAACAACAGCAGCAAAAACAACAACAAAAAATAGTGGTATGCACAAACATTCCAAGCGAGCAGCAGCAGCAATAAAACCAACGTCAACAGCTGAAATTTAGCATAGACTGGACCAGGGCTGCAACGCAACCAAATGCACTTGTTAACCAACACTGTCAGCTGACAGTGCTGTTAACAGCAGCAGCAGCAGCAGCAGCAGCTTTAATTTCGTTACTTGCGCACGCAAATTGTTTTGCGGCTATATTACGAAAACAGATATGTCACAATTTCAAAAGGAAATCGTCCAGGCGGTTCTCATAGCCGACAACAATGTGTGGAACTTTAAACCGCTATCCGACGAAGGCTCCACGGTGCGTACATATGCATATAACGACTTGTTGTTGTTGGCTTGGCCACGCACGTTGCTTGAATACATTTGATTTATTTATATGCAGGCGCTGCTGCCGCTGGTGAATGTTAGCATGCTGGATTATGCTTTAATTGCGCTAAATCGCAGCGGCGTGGAGGAGGTATTCGTCTATGCTAGCCTCTATCTGCAGGATATACGCGAGCACATCAAGTGAGCATAAATTGATTTATGTTTAGCTGCAATTGGGGTATTCCCGTAATGTTGGTCAACTTGCAGCGCACAGTCATGTTCATCTGTTTATAACCAGTTGATGGATCTAACGCTACTTTATAGAATTCAATTTACTTGTGGAAGCTCTAAATGGGTTACCTATATCCTTTGTCTTGCATAAGATTACTTAGCTAAATGCATTTATTTCCTAGAGTATTTCATCTCCGGTTGAATATGGCTTGACAACTTATATAAATAGGTTAAACTTGGCTGACTGACTAATTTTAGATAAATTATATAGCTTAAACTTTAAGAGCTGCGAAGCTAGAGGTTTTACTAAAGCCTCCCTTTAGGTCGAAACTGAGCACAAGTTTCGGTTTTGGAAAATTCGACCTCCAATTGGAAAAACTATTGCCTAATTTTTGCTGAAACCAGAAGTGACGTCATAAAACTGCGTCGGTTAGGGATCTGAGCGTCGGACTAACGAACGTAAGGTCGCCAGTTCGAATTTAGCAATTTTACTTGAAGAAAAATTAATATGAACGGAGAGAGAGAAGTTTAGGTTTCTTAGAAGCATTAGGTTTCTTAGTTTACATTAGAGCTAGGATAATTTAGAGAACCACTTGCGTTCTCGACCTTACTCTCTTAAGCCGGGCAACACCGGGCAATTTCTTTTAGTTTTAAATATTAATACACGCCTTGCTTTCATTCCCAGACAGGGCATTGCCGCATATGCCTCCTGGTCATTCAAGATGACCGTCCATGTGATTGGCGGCGAGGGCTGCCGTTGCTTTGGCGATGCCATGCGCGATTTGGATGCCAAGGCGCTGATACGCGGCAATTTCATACTGCTGGGCGCGGACACAGTGACCAATGCGGATCTGCGGCCCGTGCTGGAGCAGCACAAGCGCACGGCCAAGTTTGATAAGGGCACGGCCGCCACGCTCGTATTTAAGGAGTGCGCCAGCGGCGCCGAGCGCACCGGCAACGAGCTGCTAATTGCTGTCGACAAACAGAATACACGGCTGGTCTATCATCAGCGACTGCGCGCCAATCACAAGGAGTCACGCTACCAGATACCGCTCGATGTGTTCCTTAGCAATTCGTGCGTTACACTGCATCACAATCTGCTCGATCCGCAGATAGCAATTGGTTCGCCCTCGATGCTGTCTCTGTTTAGCGATAATTTTGATTTTCAGACGCGCGACGATTTCGTGCGCGGCCTGCTTATCAACGAGGAGCTGCTGGACAGTCGCATCTATGTGACGCTCCTGCCGCCGGCACAGTACGCGCACAAGGTCAACAATTGGTTATCCTATCAGCTGGTCAGCCGGGACATTATAAGCCGCTGGGCCCATCCGCTCGTGCCCGACATGGGTGTCTATAATCTGCAGCAGCAGTATGTCTTCTACAAAGATAACATCTACAAGAGTCACGAGGCGAACGTATCCAAGGTGGCGCTGCAGGAGAATGTTGTCATACAGGCGGGCAGCCATGTGGATGCCGGCACCAGCATCAGCTGCAGCGTAATTGGCTCCAACTGTCGCATCGGCAAGAATTGCCAGCTGAACAATGTGTTCCTTATGGCCAATGTGATTATACACGACAATTGCCAGCTGCGGCACTGTGTCATTGGCTCCGCTTCGGTTGTCCATGCGAATTGCACCATTAGCGCTGGCTGCGTACTGGGCGCCAAGTGTGTGCTGCCCGCCAACACAAAGCTAGCCAACACGCTGGTCACCAGCTCGCCCAGCACACAGCGCACCGAGGATCAGGAGCAGGGTAGGCAAACAAGCGCTTGACACTCTTTTACTCAGTCAACTAATTCCGAATCCATTTATTCAGTTGAACTGGAGGCCATTGGACCGTCTGCCTATATTGTCAACGATTTGACAACCGGCGATCCCGATGATTCCGATGCGGAAGACACTTTGCTGCCACAAACAGCGACCCTCTGCATACCGAAAATGTGTGAGCTGCAGCAGCTGGCGAACGTGGACAGTGACTGCAGCTCCTCTAGCGAAGATGAGGACGAGGATGAATCCCGTGGGGCCACACCGCTGCCCGACGACACCAACAGTAGGCATCGATTTGAACTAAATCAAAAAATGCATATTATTTAATTGACTGCTTGTTGCCGTCTTTGCAGTCTTTCTATCGGAGGTCATCGATTCGTTGTCACGTGGCTTTCGGGAAAAATCGAATCCAGATTTTCTCATACTCGAGATTAACTCGTCGCGCTATGCGTACAACATGTCACTCAAGGAGGTCAATTTCAATGTCGTCAAAGCTGTCTTTGGCATGGAGTCCATCATCGAGCCCTCTAACAATAATGTATTGGCTGCCATCAATGCCGTTTTCAAGCAACTGGGACCTGTTGTCTCCAACTATATTAAGAGCGAGGATGCCATGTTGGATTGCCTTAAGGCTTTGGAGGTATTAAACGCGGTTTGTTCTGGGCTCGTGCGCATACAATAAGGACAGATTCGCTCCAGATTTAACCAAAGGCTTATCAATTTGTCAGATAAATCTTTAATAGTGTTCCATTTGTCGAAGTTAAATCGAAAGCTGGCCATCTAAGGGCATCCCTATTAGCTATCTTCATTTTAATTTGTACTTCATACTGGTGTTGCCTTTTCATTTGTTCCCTTTGAAACAAATTCAACTGAATCTTATTTAATTGGAAGTTCGTTATCTTTATCAGTGCTGCATTTTAGCTTGCAATCCCAATTAATGTTCCATTTGCGTTTGTTTCCTTCCGGCAGGACATTTGCGAAGAGAACGAGCTGGTGCGCGAGAAAATCTCTCAGGTAGTGCATTACCTGTACGACAAAGACTTCGTCTCCGAGGATGCCATACACGCCTGGTACAGCCAACTGGATGTTCAGGAGCACGCAACGCTGCGGCAAAGTCTCGCCAAGCTCGTCGACTGGCTGAACCAATCCAGCGAAGATGACGATGACGCGAATAACGATGATGATGATGATGATGATGAATAGGCCAGCTGACACAACTGTGTTCCTTTACATACAACGAAATAAACTATTAAAAAACGATTTGCGTTTATTTGTTACAACATTTTTATTGCGACACACTCAAGAATTTGGATTTAAAATGTAGAAATGTTGTGTGAACTACATAAAACACAATTTTGTTTTTTTATAAAAAAAAAATAGGCCCTATTTAAGTCGAAAGAATTGTTTGCAATTTAAACATATTTCAATTGTTAACAGACAAATTTATGTGGATACTATCCAATAATATATATAAATTTTGATTTACAATTGAAATATATGTGCATGTATATATATGTATATATATATACAATGTATATATAACAAAGGGGCGTTCGATCAATAATCGCTTACAATTGATCGTAACGCCCTAAATCGATATACAATTTGTATATTAGCAATCGAAATGGAAAAACGGATTAATATTAATAAAAAAAACAACGTTATATCTATATAAAATATATGACATACATGTGTATATAGAAACGCTGTATAACGTAAGCTTCACTTGCTGGGGGGGTGGGTGGTAGGGGGCTGTTAAGAATTGTAAGTATCTAAGGCTTAACTCAAGTGCATATTACTAGGTCTCGCTACTCGCTGCTCGTTAATCGCTACACTCGTTGCCCATTGTTAGCAACTTTACTCGCTACTTTTCACTCGCTGATCGTTGCTCGTTACTAGCAACTTTACATGCTACTCTTTACTCGCTGCTCGTTACTAGCAACTTTACATGCTACTCTTTACTCGCTGCTCGTTACTAGCAACTTTACTCGTTGCTCGTTACTCGCTACTCTTTACTCGTTACTAGCGACTTTGCTCGCTACTTGCTAC